GATACGGGAGAAAAATCTTTTCAATTTATTGATAAACAACAGAAACGAAACACTGGTTGATTCTGATGGCTATTGGCAGTTAGGTGCAAACTTCAGTGGTCTGTTCCAAAAATAGATCTTCATAAAATTCATCAGTGGTTTTTGCTCCTGACTTATTTCTGTATTACAAAATTTTGATAAACAGTTGATAATTTTTGGCATTTTATGTTTGTTTATTCGTTTGAAAATTGCTCTGTTTTTGACTTTTTAAGTTGAACAATGAAAGAAAAAGACAATCATTACGTTGGTGAAATTTACAGCTAAATCATGGGCCTTAAGCGGATATCTTTTTAACCTGTAGACAACCTTTCGCGCAATGTAAAGTTGTCATTATTTCAGTGAACTAATAATAAAGGTTATCTTATAATCATTTTAGATTGAAATTTTTTGCTAAAATTATGTTTTAAAAATAAGAAGAGCACTTATTTTTCCAGAAATTTAGAAAAGAATGCTTCTGCTGTTTTTTCAAGCATTTTCTTTCAATTGTCCTTCGCGGTAACGTATTATGGAAGGAGAGTTGAATATGGTTACTCTTCTTCCTTCCTCCTGGAATTCGTATTCCTGTTAAGATTGTTAAGATTTACGATGAAAAAGTGTCTAAAGAAAAGTACAGGCTAATAAAGAGACTAAGGACACTCTAATTAGTTGCCAGTTTGACGTAATAACCCAGGAGAAAGAAAATTTTTTTGACAAATATTTGGGTAGCTTTCTTTGAAACTTTATTTTCACGCCCGTCTGTTTATTACCAAAAATCAACTAGCTAACAATACTAATAACTTATGCTAAGTACCTTTTTTTTTTCTAAGAAATTAGGTAGACAGCCAATCTAAATTTTGTACTAAGAAAGAAAAATGCAGAATAAAACATTTCTTTAAGTATTGGAAGGTTACATATGTATCGATTATTGCATATGAATACCGAGCAAAATTTTTTCTTGTGTAACTGTGGATCTAAAATAGTTGTTAAAAAAGAATCATGCGATTTTACGGCACATTACTGGTCTGTTATCTCTCAGTTAATATCGCTGAAAATATTGACCTGGTAATGGTTTAGGTGGTTGATATTGCTAAATTTAATAGCTATTTTTATAAAATTATATGCTCAAAGTTTAATTTTTGAGGTTTTCAGTGTTTGTTTGATGAAAGGTTTTTGTTGGAACTTGTTCAAAATAAGCTAATCTTTAAGTGTAATAGTTCATCATTGTTGATGATGAATCACTTTGATTTGATGTTTAAATAAAAAGCTATAAATTCCGCGTTGTTGATGTTAATTGTTCATTTATTCATTTCTTTATGTATTTTTTATTTCTATTTTTTCTTTTTTTTTTTTTTTTTTTTTTTTTT